GGACCTGAAGATTTACAGATCGTGGCCTGTTCCTGGCGCAGCAAGTCTGAGTTCTGCCAAGTGAAGTTTTATTTTTATTATTATGGTGAAAAATAATTACAGGTGACTCCTGCACTGGTAGCCTTTTTTGAAAATACTCTGAGGCCGTACTGGAGGGTCTGGCGGTGGGTAGAGCACCGCGCGTGGCTTCCCCTGAAGGCTGGAGAGGGTTTCTAGGCGGGAACTGAACCGATTTAATTTGCACGGCTGCACCTTGCGCCTCTCGGACACCGTCTGGGGTCCTGTGCGGGTCCTGTGGAAAGAAACCTGGCCTCGGAGGTACAGAACCGCGAAGGAGTCGGCTGCTGCTCTTCTGCGTGGCTGGGGTTGCAGGGGTAGTGCTTTTCTCGTTTTCTCCAGAGGTTTTTTAACTGCAAACCGCTTGTATTTCCCAAAAGCAGCTCTGCCCTCTTCACCCCAAGGGCACCGAAGGGGCTTTTCCCGGGGGTGCTCAGCCCTGGGCGTGAGCCGCTGACCGCGGCTGCGACTTGGAGGTGAACGAGGGCAAATCCGCGGGTCCCACCCCAAAGGCCAACACCTTCAACTGGGAGATGGTGGTCGTGGTAGGGCTGGGGTCTGGGAGTCGAGCGGGTGGGCGTTCGCCCCGGTTCAGCTGGGGGGCGAAGCTTCCCTTAGAGTCTGATCCCTTTCCTGAATTTCACGCGATACAGGATAATTACATTCACTTTTTATTTCGCTCAAATTTCCCAGGGATGGAGGAAAGGGGATGCTGGGGTTCTCCAGGCAGCGTTGCTGTTCCCGTGGGGAGGGAGGCTGTTTGTCTGGGACCTGACCCCTATTAACCTGCTTTTAGCTGCTTAGGTCTTGCTTCGAAACCTGGCTGTGAACCCAGGTTCCCGATGAAGGAGAGCAGCCCTGGCGAGGGGAGGAGCAGCCCTGCCCGTGGCCCTGGGGATCCTCCCTTGGCCAGGAGCACCTGAACCAACGGTTTCGCTGCCAGACACAGAAACGTTTTACAGCTCGCTGGCCTTCCAGAAAGCGCTCTCTGGCCAGCGACGATGGAGGCACAAATGCCCCAGTTATGAAATAAATGAAGAACGAACCGCCGCTCGCCAGTGCTGCCCTGGGCCCGCCTGACCTTGGGTTCAAGCAGAAATAAATGCATTTTAAGAATGAGCGAGCCAAACGTTTAATGGACTAGGTCTACACCTCAGCCAAGGAGGTTTCATTGCACGTTCGTTGTTCGAACGCCTGTGCGAAGCTGGGGTTTCTGAGGCGTCGGAGCGCCCGCCTTCCACCTCCAAGTGTGTTAAAATTAGGGCCAAAAAAGCTTATAACGGCAGGGCTTGTTGTTAAACCCTTTTGGCTTAAAATTCCAAAGGCCTAACTTAAAAATCAGGCTTTCGCACAGAGGTGAGTTTCCTGCTGCTTGGGTCCCTGTGATATTTTTCATGGATAAAGGGGCTTCTCCGCAGGAGCAGCGGTGCTCGGGCTGGGCTCAGAGCACGGCGCAGAAACGCCGCTGAAGCTGTTTGTAAAGAGACACGCAGAGGAGACCTCTTTGCCACCCCTTAAAAACCAGCTCCCGCCCCAGGCTGGAGGACGTGCGGGTTTTTGGGTGCTCTGGGACGGGTCTGTCCTCCAGGAGCTGCCCTTGAGCGGGGGTCGGGACACGGGCAGGCTCCCCAGCCCTGCTCCGGGTTTCAAACCGCCACGTCCCGCTGCCGAGCGTCGGCTTTGCGGCACAAGCTGCGGCCGCGGAGCTC